ATTTTCCTCACATAGCCAGAGCTTTAGAATAGGACTGTGGAGTTTCTTGTTTTAAGACTTTTATTTTGTGTGTATTTGTCTGCATGCATATATGTACCATGTGTATGTTTTGTGCCTGTGGCTCACAGAAGAGAGCTTTAGATCCTCTGGGGCTGGAATTAGAAATGGTTCTGATGTGCCATGTGGGTGCTGGGTTGGATCTGCCATGTAGTACTTGGGTGTGCTAGGTGGTCCGGAGCACTGGCTGCTCTTGCAGTGTGGAGTTGATATGAGATTTCAGCGCTGTTTTAGGTTCAGAATATGGCTGACTCTGTCGATCAGGACGGGGATGTCTGACATTACCCTAGCCCATGTTTGGACATAGAAACTGTGGATGAGGATGCCATGTTTGCTTCTCATTTTCACTCCCATTTCACCTTCATCAATATCTCAGTGGCTTTAAACTATAAATTAGCCACCTGAAACGTGATTAGAGAGTTGTAATGGACAATAACAATTACTTACTTGAAAAGCTCATTTCTATCGATGGCTCTGTTGGTCTGGGGGTCGACAGCATAGACCGTCAGGTCACACTTGCTGTAGTCCTCTAGGGAGAAGGCATCTCCATGGCGACGGGCACCAATAGACTCCACGACAACTTTGGCACCAGGAATTTGTTCCTGAACATAGCGATCCAAAATCCTATATATCAAACAACATGCAAACATGACAATCTGATGGACTTACTGTGAATAAAATTTACCCTTAACTTGAAATATTTAGTAAATGAAAACTTATGATAGCTGGTTTCTACTAATGTTTACTGAATGGGCACCAATGGGAAAAGTCTCTATAAATTTTCAGCATTTAACTCCACAGGATGCCAGATGTTAAATAAGGTGAAAGAGGTCATTGACCATGCCCTAGTTAAGTCTCGAGTCCCAAATTTATGATACCATTTGAGCGTTTATGCGGCTCATGGGAAATGCCAACTATGTTGTACAAACAAAGCTGTCTGCACTTTAAAGGAGCCACAGGGCATTGGGACTCCAGTTCACGTGGTTGCTATAATAAATTCCATTTCTGTAAAAGTACCTGACACAAGCAATATTCTGAGGTGGAAGACTAGGAAACCTGTTTTCCTCAGAGCTCTGGGGAAATGGAGGAACATAAACATGTTTGGTGAGTTTATAAGATTGATACCAAAAACTGTTAATATAAATCTCAGAAGTTATTTATGTGAATAAAAATTAAAGATATGAGATAGTATTATACAAAAAATATTTACTAGAAAATATAGAAATAATGTTAGACTTTTTAAGAAGTAACAACTTTTCTTTAGCTTTATAACTTAATTTTAATTTAAAACACAAATTAATATCATTTAAGTGTTCTTTAATGTATCTACAAATAGAAATTTCTTTAATAAACTATTATTAAAACATATTACTAACACAGGGCATTATTTAAATGTATATTATGCTTATAGATATTTAAATGTAAATAAATTAGTAATAGCTATATGTAACAATTTTCTTTTGAGACAGGGCTGACTGTGAAGGTTTGACTTAAAACTCAAAGTCTAGGATATAGTCTTTTCATACAGAAGCCATCCTTGGCTAAAAATACCTTCATTCTTACACTCTTATAACACTCTTTTGTCCAACTTCCTGGTTCTATTTCATTTTATTTCCTTTTTTAATATCACAAGACATAGTAACATTAACAAATTTGTCATCTTATTAAAAGAAAGTTGAATCCAAACTACATACATTGCATAACGCAATAAAATAATATTACCTGTATACACATCATTAAATTATGAGGTTTTATAAGTTCCCAAGAAATCCCCATAGAAAACACAAGATAGTCAAAAATCTCTCTGTGCTTTGATTTACTGTATCTATGCTTTTGATTTTTAGTGGGTGTAAATAGCAGATGAAGAATAGTAGCAGTCACATAGACAAATGCAAAGCTGGAAAAGCTTAGACAAGGCACCAAATTCTGAGTACATTATATAGGTATTTTAGATGAATTTAGGGATTATAGACACATATAATTTAAAAAAATTAATTTTAATTTTATTTTATGTGTATGCATGTATTGCCTGCATGTAGGTAAGTGCACCCATGCTGTGCAATGCCTGCAGCAGTCAGAAGAGGCTGTCAGATTCCCTGGGACTGGAGTTACAAACAGTTCTTAGCTGCCATGTGAGTGCTGGGATTTGAACCCAGGTCTTCTGCAAGAACAACCAGTGTTCTTAACTGCTAAACCACCTCTCCAGCCCCACACATATAATTTTTAAAGTCAAAGTTCAAAGTACTTAAATCAATGGAGTGCTGCTCTGAAGTCACTGATCTACTCTTAGGAATATTTATAATGACTATCTTAAAAATGTGTGGTTAATAAAGGCTTATTTAAAAGTGCTTTACTTTTGTGCAAGCTTTATCTAAATATTATATTATAGTTAAAAGTACCAGACTGGTATAACTGACCTTCCAAGTGCTCAAGCACCATATTGGAGGCTTATACTAATATGGACAAAGAATTAAGACGTATTTCCCCATTGCTCTCCAAAGTCAACTAGGTCTCACTACTGTGGGGCATCTCTCAAAATGACATATAGTTCTGGAGACTCACTAGTATTCTTGTTCAGGGAGGTCATGGAGCTTCTGCTGGGAAGACTCTAACCAGTATCCATTCTACAAAAAGGAAGGTCAACAAAGAAAAATTTCCTCCATGCTTCCAAGTGAAGCCACAGTCAAGTGAGGCCTTTGACTTATCCTCACATAGATGGAAAAACTGGTAAAAGGAAGGCTAATAGATCCAGAGGCTCCTTCCAAGCCAAAGTGACCATTGACAACCAGATCCTCTACTGGCCTTAAGATTAAAATGAAAATGGTTAATTTAGGTCACCTTCCCGACCTTAAATGCACAACAGGAAAGTGTAACCAAAGGGTAAAATGATCAATATGTGTCTTTAACAATTCAACAAATTACACTCTACACATATTAGACTTAAGTTCAAATGAGATGCTTTTGGAAAATTATTTCACACTAAAGATTTCTTCTTTATTAGAAATTCTGCTCAGATATAAGACATCATGATCTTGTCTTACTTCAGCACTACAGCATCTAAGTATAGCTGACAGAGATAAGCTCACTATTGTTTCATTCTAAAATTCAAATAATAGCTAAATTTTTCTTCTTCTTCTTCTCCTCCTCCTCCTCCTCCTCCTTCCTCTCTCTCTCTCTCTCTCTCTCTCTCTCTCTCTCTCTCCCTCCCTCCCCCTCCCTCCCTTCCTCTCCCTCTCTCTCTCTTCTCTGGGTGAAATCTTACACTATGATTCTAGCCACTCCGTCAACTATTAGAGTGCCTAAATCAAATCCTTTGTTCAACACTATTCAGTCCACCCTTGCAGGCCAAGGAAAAACAACGCTCTTGGGAGCCAATCAAGAGATTCTAATGGATTTGATTTGGTCATTGAAAAAGTCTCTATTATGGCTTCTTCTGGGTCCTTGCCTAGGACATGCAATGCAAGTATGTCTTGCCTTGCCTTGTCTTGCCTCCCTCATGTTTCTATTCAGGATCCAGTCATGAACTCCCTTGCTTCCCTATACCTGGCTGCTAAACAAATGTAATCAATGGTTCATTTTTAAAGTCTTCTACATAGGCCCACTAGAGGGATACCTCATCTGACTTAATGACAGTTGAGTCATCTCTTCAGAAAGGGGGATGAAAACAGGAGTTAGAATTGAGACAGGTGGTTAGGGACAAGAGCTTCCATTGATGTCCTTGGTCTTAAGCCAAAATTGTCCTTGGTCCATCCTTGATTGGAGGCTAAAAATGTCAGAAGTCTAGAGAATGAAAAGCCTGGGTTGGAACCCCCATTCTACTTGGGCAGATCAATGACCTGTCTAAGAGATCATCCACCAGGAAGGTAGGATCACCGCTAGGAATGTGGGTACACATTAAGCCATAGCAAAGAGAGAGGAAGAATAATTATTCCTTTAATGAAGTAATTTGGCAGTATCTCCTGACATGCACTGTTACAGAATTTCTTTCCAAAGTTGAGATCTTGATTTTTCTTATAATAAGGGCAAAGCTAATGCACACTAGACTTCACAGTGTTCCCAACCCCAGCCCAATGGCTTACGGAATCAAGTCATATGCTTCATAAGTGTGCCTGATTGTTGCACTTACTCAGAAAAGCATAAGCTTTCAACTTCTTCTTTCTATATCATTTCTAAGCATGCCTTCCCTAACAATTTGGGATTCACTCTTCATCTAAGGTTCTTGTCCTTACTAAGTGGTTTCTAGTCTACCATGTGTCTGACCTCCATGCTGGCTTAACTCAAATGGCATAGTGTTTTCTCTTTCTCTGCTCCATCTTCATAATGTGATGAATAGCCAAGAATTACAGATTGCCTAGTGTGAGGTTTTTTTCTTTAAATAAAATTTTCCTGGAAATTTATTTGGAGTCTGTTCTTAAATTCTTTTATTAATGAGACTATGAAACACAAGAGGGGTCCTCAGTTCCCCAGCAACACTTAGTGACTTTTCTTTAACTTTCCCAAATTTCTGGGAACACTGTGACTCGCCTATGTGAAGCAAACACTGATGATGTTTTGGGTGTATCTTTCTGAATGCATCTTTTTCTTTAAACTCATGATTAAAATCTATATTAAAATATTGTTAATAAAACTATGGCTCTGCTTCATTAAAAAAATGACAAACCCCCTCAGTCTATGTATAACCCTTGTGAGTCAATCAGGGTTGCATACACCTGTAATCCTAGTGTTTGGGAAGTAGAGACAAGAGAATCAGGAACTTAAGGTCATTCCTGGCCCACCTGGGCAACATGAGAGACTACACTGAAAAACAAAATAAATGAAATATTGTTGCCCAATTTCTTTTAGGGTCTCTTGCTCCTGGCAATATTAGACAAACCATATAAAACATCTTCATCTGAATTTTTTATAGTTTATATCCTGGGTAGGGGAAATAGAGTAACTTATGAAGGTGAATACTGTTGCCCCACAAAAGGTGAACACATGGTGCCCCGATCTGTGCTGTGGCTCAGTAGCCTACCATTCCACATCATTTCCACACCTTGCCCACAGTCTCCATTAGCTTTCACCAACTCCCCAGGTCAGTAAATGCCCCCTCTCCTGTCCATGTGTGTCCATGCAGGTGAGACACTGGGGCCATTTTTTTCCATGCCTCCACCGCCAAGACTGAGTCAAAGCTCCTGCCTCCGTGGCTAACTCTCCAGCAGCCCCTTGTCAGCTCACACCCCTCAGAGGAAAAAGCACCCTCTCAGGACACAATCTGCCCAAGTCTTCCTTGATTTTTCCTCCTGCCTCAGCCTCTAGAGTCCAGGGAGTACAGGTATGTATGACCACCCCTGGGTACTTTTAAATTTATCTTCAGATTTGGCCTTTACCTGTGAAGCATTTTGAGAGAATAACTTATTTGAAATATTTTTATACATATAGACATAATTTTGTTTTAAATACTGAATTGACCTATTTTCTTCTCTATTGAAAATGCATTGCCTTAAGAGTCTGGTATGCATTATTTTGCCCTTATTATAAGAAAAATCAAGATCTTAACTTTGAAAGAAATTTCTCTAGCACTGCATGCCAAGGTATACTGCCCATTATAGATAAATGTTTTGTTTGATTGACCTTAAAGTTTT